TTGCTATTGCTATTGCTATTGCTATTTAATGAGGACCTCCCAAAGACCTATTAGATCCCACAGACTAGGCCTCCTCCGAATTCCATCTGCCGGCCAATGTCGACTGGCAACTCCCCGGGGGAGGGCCTTCTCTGTGGCTGTTCCGGCCCTCTGGAACGATCTCCCCGTTGAGATCCGGACCCTTACCTCCCTTCCGGCTTTCCGCAAAGCAGTTAAGACCTGGCTGTTCCGGCAGGCCTGGGGCTGCTAAATCTTTCAGCCCCATTTGAAGGGTATGACTGTTGCTGCTTTTAAAATGTATTTGTCTTCTTATTTTTTATTCTATTTTGTGTCCCCCTTCCCTTTTTGATTGTTAGCTGCCCTGAGTCTCTCGGGAATAGGGCGGCATACAAACCGAATCAATCAATCCATCATCATAATCCAAGTGAACCGGGCGGAGGGGAGCCTGGTGCGCAGGATGGGGCTAACTGTCCTTTGCCTTCCAGATGTCATCCCAGTGGTAGGGGGGCCAGCATATCAGCCCTTGGGTCGCCAGGGCTACCAATCGCACAGGGACCACACTGCACCTGAAGCCGCCAGCTGGGCAGAACAGCCATGCCAGCCCGCCGCACCAGGGGCTGCCAGCTGAGCGGTGCGCACATGTCCACACGCCGTACCGGAAACTCTGCCTGCCAGCATGTTGCCCTGCACAATACACAGCTGAGTAGTGCAGGGCTCCGCAGGCCGTGGCAGACTTAACCACGCTGTGGGGTGGCCCTGGCAGGTCCCCTGCTCTATCCAGGACTGTGTGAAGCGGTGGATGGGCGGTGAGGCCTGTGCAGAGCATCAGCAGCGTGCTGTCTGAATTTCTTGCTGAAAGCTGGAACATTTGGTCCGGATATTTTTCTCCTATAAATAAATACCCAGGCAATGCCGGGTTATCGGCTAGATCTGTATATTAAAGGCAGAAAAAAATTCTGAAGTGATTTATCATGGGCTGAGTTTTTTACATCTCAAAAACCTGGCATTTTAACAGGTGTGCAGACTCCTATATATCCACTGTATATATCTGAACTGTTAAATTTGTATGATCATGGGAATGAGCCACTGTCAACAGAAATATTTTGCATTTTCTTCAAAGGAGGCGCTCACCTTCACCATACTATAGTCGTTACAGATCAAGATCAAGATCTCGTTCCTACAGTCCAAGTAAGCATAATTATATTATACAGAGTAAATATGCATACTCTTAGTGTAGTGAGATATGGAATGGCGGCAGTAGTCTGTTCTGGAAGGTAAGGTAAAGGTAAAGGTTCCCCTCGTACATATCTGCTAGTTGTTCCCGACTCTAGGGGCAGTGCTCATCTCCGTTTCAAAGCCGAAGAGCCAGCGCTGTCCAAAGTCATCTCTGTGGTCATGTAGCCGGCATGACTAAATGCCGAAGGCGCACGGAACGCTGTTGCCTTCCCATCAAAGGTGGTTCCTATTTTTTCTACTTGCATTTTTACATGCTTTCGAACTGCTAGGTTGGCAGAACCTGGGACAAGTAACGGGAGCTCACTCCGTTACGCGGCGCTAGGGATTCGAACCGCCGAACTGCCGACCTTTCTGATCAACAAGCTCAGCGTCTTAGCCACTGAGCCACCACATCCCTAATGCTGGAAGGAGGGAGAACTAAATTAATGTAGAAGCTGATGCAGAGGTATGAATTTATAGTTACAGTATTCTTTTTTTCTTTCAGGGCGTTATTGAAGAAGAAAAGCCAGTTACAGAGCAAATACCATTTGTTCCAATCCTAGTTTTTCTTACAGTTACTCTAATAACTAATTAAATTTTCCCAGGTTCATTTAGGTGTATTTTTTTTTGAAATAACCATTTTCATCTCTTGTTACTGTATATTCCAAATGTAATTGTTGTAGCTTTATGTACTTAAATATCTTTAAGCAAAAATTGATGGGAATCCCAGAGTGGTACAAGATTTTGTAATTCATTTTTTTCTTCATTTTTTTAAACAAGTGGATTTTCGTTGAACCTCATGAATGAAGAGATCTGGTATGTGTCAATGCTTGCATGTTGTATTTTCAGTAGAAAGCTACTATTTTAATAACCTCTTATCTTTCTGGTTTAAACCCCCCCCCCCTTGTCCTGTTTGTTCAGTTACAACACAGTTTGGTATTTAATCTTAAACCAGAAGTTTCCTAGATTTTCAGTTTAAAACAATACTAGATTGGAGGGAGAAAAAAACCTTTGGAGGTGGGGAGAACCCTTGTACCCTACATACACTGTTCAGTGGTGCATGTTAAAATAAACTCAGTGCTGCTCAGAGGAATTTGCTTTAAACACTAAGCTGGCCTGCAAAGAATTCCTCCTATTTTTACTACCCCATAATCAGGACAAGCCTAACTGACTAGTTATAAGAAATATTTGGTCTGTTCAGATAAATCTATATAATATAGAAATTAAGATGAAGCAGGTTCTATTTAGTAGCATAATCAGACATTTTCATTCTCATTCTCAAAATAAATTTAAATTGTACAAATACAACTGTTCAGAATTTATTATTTATCATTTGTTAGAGTTCTTGAATTTGGGGCTGGGAATTTAATGCAAAGTAACAATACAACAAGGAATTACACGTGTTGATGTGCTGAGGGCAAACTGCTCATGTCTTATCATTGAACTCTATATTCCACGGAAAGATCACTTGAATTAACATTCTGAACTGAAAAATAGTACAAAAACAGATCTTAAAATTCAGCAGGTAAAAGTGAATTTAAGAATATGATTATCACTTCTCTATATTATTAAATGTTAGTTTCTATATGCAAATATGCTAAGAAAAAAAATAGGCCAAGGAAAACAAGACAAGTAGGGGTCCTCTAACTGGAAGAAAATTTGAGGTAGTACATATGGAAGTCATTTTGTAAGGTCAAAGGCTGTATCTAATCCCAGCAGAATCAACGTGAATTGAATAGCTGGGTAATATTCAGGTATAAGACGTTGCCTGTAACTGGACACTAGGCTGAAGGAAAACAAGAATTATATTCTGCAGGGAATGAGAACACAATACCTTATATAATGTTACGGAAAATTAGAGATTTAAATCCAGTCTGTTCTTTTTCCTAATTTTTCATTTCTGGAAATAAACTCTGTGATACAGCTGTAATGAATGCTCTGCCATATTGTAATGTCACATACTTTGCTGACAGTTAGAACAATTAATCAGAGGAACAACTTTCCTCCAGAAATTGCAGGTGCTCCAACACTGGACGTTTTAAAGAAGAGATTGGACAGCCATTTGTCTGAAATGGTATAGGGCAGCGATGGCAAACCTTTTTTGGCTCGCGTGCCATAAGGGGGTCGTGCAGAGGGGGTCGTGCGTGGGCGTGCTGCACCCATAATGCAATGTGCAACCCCCAGTGTGTATGCGCTCATAAGAGGCGCTCCCCCCATTTTTTGCATGCTTTTTTTGCCCTCCCCAGGCTCCAGAGGCTTTATAGGAGCCTGGGGAGGGCAAAAACAGCCTCCCTCCCCCCCCCGAGGCCCTCCGGAGGCTTCAGGGACCTTCAGGAGGCTTCACTGAAGCCTCTGGAGTACTAAAAACGACCCTATGAGCAAATCGGAAGTCACTTCCAGTTTGCTCGTAGGGCCGGTTTAAGCCTTGAAGCCTCCTGAGGGTCCCTGAAGTCTCCAGAGGGCTTAAACTGACCCAACGAGCAAACCGGAAGTCAGTTCCTGAACTTCCGGTTTGCCCATAAGGCTGGTTTTTTGCACTCTGGAGGCTTTAGGGAAGCTCCTGAAGCGTTCAGAGGGCCTCCGGGGGGCATTGCGGGGGATGCTCTTTTCGCCCTCCCCAGGCTCCTATAAAGCCTCTGGAGCCTGGGAAGGGCGAAAAATAGCTTTAAAAAAGGTTGAACTCAGCTGGCCAGCCAGCTGACAGGGCAACGCCTCGTGTTGTGCCCTGACAAATGGCTCTGTGTGCCACCTGTGGCACACGTGCCATAGGTTTGCCATCCCGGGTATAGGGCAGTGATGGCTAACATTTTGTCGTGTGCCACAAGTGCGTGCATGCGTGATAGCATGCCCCCCAGCCATAATGCAATGCGTGTGTGACACACACACCCTGTGCCCCCGCCCTCTTGAGCATGCACGTGTGGCCCCCACACACATGCACGCATGCCCCTCTGCTGCCATGTGCATGCATCTCCCACATGCACCCCACTCCCCCACGCATGCATGGCAGAGACCTGAAAATCAGCTGGCTGACGGGAGGCGCACGCACATGCGAGTAGAGCTGAGCTGAGGTAATGGCTCACATGCCCACAGAGAGGGTTCTGCGTGCCACAGGTTCGCCATCACGGGTATAGGGTTTCCTGCTTGAGCATGGGGTTGGACTAGAAGATCTCCAAGGTCCCTTTGAACTCTTTTATTCTGTTATACGTGCTGTTGAATTTAGGGTTGAACTGTGGAGTCATTGATACTCTCTGATCTTGGTTGTTTCCTTGCAGGAGTTTCATAGATCATCAGTGTGGGGTTTGCTCCCTGTTTATATATGCAGTAGCTTGCCCTAGTTGTTGGGAAGCACCCAGCCAGGCAGAAAGGAGGGATCAAGAGTGGAGTGACCCTGGAGTCACTGCACAACCGCAAAAGAGCTAGGGCAGATCTTAGATAGGTTCCTTGGAGCCTTATCTGATTGTTCCAAGGAGTAGGCTGCCAGACCAGGGAGATAGCTGTATTATAGGCAGAACATAATAAGAGTAGTTAGGTTGAATTCTGCACATGTGGGTCTTGTTGTTTGCACCTGATATTACTTTCCCCAATCACAGACACTCTGGCAAGAGTGGCAGCAGACCAAGGCATGGTGGATACTGTTCTATGGCAATCAGGATGGCATACAGACTGAGATGCGGAACCAGGCAGTTATACTGCTTCAGTTGCAACAGCTATGGTTGCCCCTGAGCTGCAAGCAGCTCCAGTTGTACAGCTGGTTTTGCTGTGATGACATGGAGGCTTGCCAGTAAGATTTGGAAGAGAACCAGACAAGATGAGAACCTTCATAGCTCAAAGTGAGGTTTTTAGGGGAGCCTGAGCAGCAGAGTTTCCAATGGACCACTCAAGGGTGTCCTTCGTGCTGAGTTTGTTAATGGAGTCAACAGCTCAGTGGGCACTACCAATAATTGAAGGCAACAATCTAGTCATGGATAATTACCAAAACTTTATGGACAGATGTGAAAACTAGCTGCAGGATGCAGCACCTCAGCCAGGGTAACTGAAGGGTCAGACTGTATATAGAAATTAAAATTAGTAGCAGCTAATATGGATTGGAATGAAGTAGCCTTAATTAGCATATTTTTCACAGTCTAAGACTGTTGTGGCCCAGCAGCGGCCGGCTCAGCTGTTGGTGGAATCTGACAGCGATGAACATTATGGAACTTCCCTGGAGGCTGAGGAAGACTCTGGGGGGGTGTTCGGAGTCAGAGCAGGGACTAGAGAGTCCTGTTGGCCACCAGATGGCGTCTGAGCTAGGGAGCAGTGAGGAAGAATAGGGAGGTTGTCCCTGACATACGGATGCGGAGGGCTGATAGGAGAAGGCAGCAGCTGTGGAAACAGGCTCACAGAAGGAAATAGGACACAGGTGGTTACTGATTGGCCCCTCTCAGAGAGCTTATAGGTGGAACGACGGGATTGGAATTTTGCAGGAAACATCAGTTTAAGTTTGAAGAAGTCCATGAATTCCGTGAGTCTGGTTTTTCATAGAGATAAGTTTCTGGGCTCCTAGCCAAGGGGTGGCTTATCTACTTCATTAGTCGTGGCAGATGGCCAACCCGGCATCAGTATAATTTGGAGGCTTGGGGGACAGAACAGTATGTTTCCTGCCTTTTAAAGCAGATTTACATATAATCTAAAATGGAGCAGCTTCATGCAGAAAACGCACAGCTCACGCAACAGGTAGCTGTGCTGGCTGCCTAGGTGGCTCAACTCCAAGTTCACGCTGCTCCACCACCGCCTCGGAGGAAATGCCCGGTTGCAGTGCCTGATAAATTCGATGGCAACCAAGCCATATTTCCAGCTTTTTTGGGACAATGTCAGCTATTTATCAGCTTGAGAGCAGAGGATTTCCCCACTGACCGAGATAAAGTGGGGTTTTTGATTAGCCTTATCTCCGGCTCCACTGCTTGTTGGGCTAACCCACTGCTGGTCCAGGCTAGTCCTTTGCTGGATGACTTCAGGGGGTTCTGTGACCGCCTCAGGTTAATGTATGAGGACCCCATTAAGACAGAGACGGCTACCCGACGTCTGAAGACTGAAGCAGGGCCAGGGTTCCTTGCAGGAATACATCAGTGAGTTTAGGCTACTTAGCCAGGATTCGGCTTGGAGTGAGGCAGCCCTCATGGACACATTTCAGGACGGGTTGTCGGAAGAATTGCATGATGAGCTGGTGCGGGTGGATAGGCCACTGACGTTCAACACACTGGCCCATCTGTGTCTCCGGATTGATGCTCGGTTAAAGAGGCGGGGAATCCGCCGCACGTCCCAGGAGAACAGGGTGGTTCCGGCCATGCGTGAGACTCCAACTCCATGGGAGGAGCCCATGGAATTAGGTGCAGCCAAACCCTGCTCGTCGATAACGGAGAAAAACAGATGGCAATCAGGGGCTTTGTGTTTTTATTGTTGGGAACCGGGGCACATGGCAGCCTTTTGCCCCAAATAAGAGACGAGGGGCGTCAGTTACTGGACCTACCCCCCAGCCCCAGA